ATAATCGCATATTGATATACGATGTCATGGATGCATACACGTTGGCAGAATTCAATGTATCGTACCGAAAATGTTTAGCAAATAATTCGTCGAAAATTAAAACCGAATAGCAATTACATACATAATTCAAGTTGTTCAAAATATTGATTTCTACAATATTGATTAAAAAAATCATTGAAATTGAAGATGCACCTATTTTTAAAATAATTATTATAGTACTTCATTAAATGACAATAAATAAATATTTAAATCTCTAACAAAATAGTAAGAATTTATATTAGATTTAAAAATTATTTGATTTTGTCCTTTTTAAAATATTGAATTTTAACGTATAATTAATAAAAAACTATACATTTTATAATAAAAAATACAATAATTTAAAATATTATTATAATTTATTATTTTTATTCAATTTTATAATATTTTGGAAATACATATTAACATTATCCTAAATAACTTCGAAATAATTTAATTATAAATATTTTATTTTAATAAAATTCTCTTTTACATCTTATTTAATTTATAAATATTCGATGAAAAAGAATTTATTTCCTAAATATGAAATAATATTACACAATATTTTATAAATAAAAGATTTTGACATCTTTATTATGTAATATTCTTTTATGTATATATATAAGTTTACAACAATTCGAACAAATAAATTTACATTAAATCGTTACTTAAAATTATGCGCGTAAGATTGTTTGTTCATCGTCATCACGAGATTCTCATGCACACGCTATGTAATCTCGTTTTCTTTTCATAAGATCCCATTGTCCTTAGCTGTGTGTCCGTTTCACGAAAAAGTAAATAAAGTCAAAACTGCCGCAGGACGATGGTTGCACGAAGGACTAGCGCCTATTTGTCTCAAATGAAACGAAAACACACATTAACCAAAAAAGTTGTTCGTTATTTCCGACTTCGTATCTTTTCATGCGTCTTAACGTCGCAACTTCTAACTAATTCGAATTTTGAAACCATAACAACTTTTTCATTATTATTGGTGAATTTTATATATATTAATAATATTAATATTTATCTAAAATTTATCCTTAATCTTCAAAATTATTAATGTTAATTTTAATTTTATAAATATAGGTATAGGATTAAACTTGAATTTCATATCAAATATAATTTTTCTTATTTTTTCATATACGAAAAAAATAAACTATATATATCCATTATAACAATTAGTCAATAAGTTTTAAAGAAATAGGAAACTCTTATTCTTTCAGAAATGAAAAAAGTTATAATACAGTTATTTTATATTGGTTCTATCAAGTTTCTTATCTATTTAAGGAACTTAATACTTTGAAATTTATTCTCATTGACAATGATATTAAAAAGAATTATTTGATTGTTTTTTTATGTTATTAATTTTCTTTTTATTTTTAATAAATTTAATAGGACAAAGATAATAACTTGTTTTTTCTTTCATCCATATTTATTCATTTTTATTCATTTGCAATACTTTAAATGATACTAATTTAAAAAGTAATTCGAAATTTCATTACACAACTTATTTTTAGAAATATGCGATTTTGAAGAATGTAATTTCAATTATACAGATTTTTCAATGTCAAACGAACAGCAATTATAGCATTATAGAAATAGAACTATTTTCTTCTATTTCTGTTGCATTTCATCTAAGACAAATTTAAATTGTTTATAATTACATTAATAAATACAAAATTTTTATTTTACTTTTGTATTTGTTTTAATTTCTAAAATCAATCTCAAAAATATCTCACGAATATATTAATATTTTATGTAAATATATGCACATACATTGATAAAATATATGTATGAACTTTGATTTTTGATTTGTAAAAAAAGATTTTGAACTATCAGATTTCTATTTATGCGAATAATCGTTCTTCTTAAATTGCACGTTATTCAAAACAGTATTCTATATGTTATATGTTAAATATAAAAAAAAATGTTAAAATTATTAATAGTTTATTAATAATTGATATATATAGTTTTAATAGTTTTTTGATTATAAAAGTTATATAAAATTATATATTATTTTTTAAAATAGAATCACATAAAATTTTTAATGCTATAGCCGATGCAATTTAATATTTTCTACAGAAAGATATTAATAAATTAAAATAGAATATATAATTATTAATACAATAGCCGTAAATTATTTCTTATTAAAATATATATAAATATGTCGAAAAATTATTAATTTAAAAAAAATATTAAAATAGAAAAATTAAAATAGAAAATATTGTAATTTATTTAAGTTAGTATAAAAGAAAAGAAGAATATGAATATATTATAATATAATGCTTCGAATATTTCTTGTTTTTCATATGATAAAAGTTTACAAAGTTTTAGTTATAATATATATTTAAGTAATGATTTTTTAATAAAAACAACTTAATATTTTGTTTTAGGAAATAACAGAATACATTGATTAGTAAAATAAAAAAATTATATGATTCTATTCAAAAAAAGTAAAAATCATATAATATCTGTCTCGACAGAAAAACTATTGTATAATATTTTATAATTTTCTTATACCAAACAATTTTTATATAAACATTTCTTTACTAATATTCTCTTTTAAAAACTATTTCAATATATTTAGAAAAATAATATATTCAGATAGATATGATGAATGATTTATAATATTTTTTAGTAAGTATCCTCAATGAAAGGATTATAAGTAAACGTAAATTTATATGAAATTTATATATTTTCCATCATATATATTTACGATTATTAAAGATCATCACGATAAAAAAACGATTATCAAAAATTATCGTTTATAATAAATATATAATATTTATCTATTTATGAAAACCAAAATTATTTTTCGAATATAATTTTTTTTTATGAAAATCAAATAGATATGAACTAAAAATATTAATTTTTTACAATGATAATAAAAGAAATTTGTCACATGAAAATCAGTTTACTTATTTATATTCCATAGAACACTAAAAAATTCTTTGCTAAATTGGTATCACTATTAAATTAACACTATGAATGCTATTTTATTATATGTATAATTCGAAATCAAGTTCTCTGATCTCTTCGATACGCACACACACATATATATATACATTTGTATACATATTCATGATATATATGTATATATTTATCATACGATATTTTACTTCTGCTTCCAATACGCATATCTAACAAAATTATTACGCAGTCAAATTTTCGATGACGATTCTAAAAATAATATATAGATATATAACGAAATAAATTATGGAAATTATAAAAAACCTAATTTATTTATTTTTCTATTTCTATTTTTCTTTTCTTTTTAAAAAAATTCGTTTATAAAAATGCCATGTTTGCTTGTAAAAATTTCATTCAAAATTTTTTCACAAACAAGAATGTTAATCCTCCACGGAACGAGTATATATTCAAATTATATTTCTGTTTTAAAAACTACAAAATCAAGAGAAAAACTACAAAATTACGATATGGAATTCAATGGTCGCTGAAAAAACACGACAAACATATCGACAACTATTTAATCGAACGTTATGAGCAAATTTGATTTTTCGATTTGAAAGAATCGCACATCTTCAACTCAGTTTTATCACATTTCTAGCGGCCGCAACGAAAAACGCAAAACAAACAATACCAAAACAATTTATATTGTCACTAACTGGAGGTACTAACACGGTTTATTTGGTTTATTTAGTTTAAAATCACGAATTTCTATAAAAGCAAAGTATAATTGGGTCTTGAACAATGTGGGTTGTAATCAATATTATATGAATATTTATATGAATTTTTATCATTATATAAATTCTTAATTTTAAATCCGTCTTTAGTTTTTATATGATAAATAATTTGAGTAATACATAATTCATAAATTACATTGACAAATTAGTTAAATTGATAAAAATGACAAAATTATAAAAATATTTATATATATATATAATAGGAACTTTTGCTGTGATCAGAAAATCAGAAAGGAAAAAGAAATTTATTTTTTCATAAATAATATTTCTAATCATTTCACAAATAATGTAAATAATATATATCTATAGAATAATAAATATATGTTTATATATATGTAATATATGTAAACATATATTTTATTTTATGAATTATTTTCTTAATAATTATTTAATAAATATAATTAATAATATAGCATACTTGTGTTTAAAAAATATGATTAATAAACTATCAATGACAGACCATGATTCATATATATATCGAATTGATACACGAGTGAAAAATTCAAATATAGGAACGAAATCAAGAAGCAAAGAAAAAAAAATCGATGCACATCTTTTTTGTGCTGTCTCGATTTTCCTAGTTTTCAAACGAAAAAGAAAAAATCGCTTCTCGTTCGACAGATGGTGCTGACAGAACAAACACGTTGAAACATGTCCAGGGTCGAGAGAATTTCGGAAGCCGGTTTGAACGCATTTCATTGATTGCAATCTTGATATTGTTTTCATATCAAAAGAATTGTCGGATATATTTTGAATGGATGTTCGTTTGTATTTTCGATTCGATGAAAATGATATCAAAAGAACGCCAAGAATCTAAGAATTCATGGCGAATCCACTCGTTCATTTATAGACTGCAGAATGACAAGAGAGAAACGAACTATCGCGTGAAACGACGTGCGTTTCGCCGTTCGACTAAAGCTGTCGATGTCATCCTATACGGACCACTCGAAACAATATATTCACCGGTCGAAAAAAGTCACACTAAAGAGCTCGTAGATAATATTTCCGTCACCAATGGTGAGCTCAGAGTGAAAACATTGCTGTTGAAATATTGTTTTCTAGACATTCGAAAAAACATCGCCGACCACGTGGTCAGAATAAAAATTGAATGTGAATAGAATTTCGAAGAAATTAAATTTGGCATGATGGTATTTCTAATGGAGTTTATATTATAGCATTGAGAGATTATCATTCTCACATTACTTGTATTTGAACTGTGTTTTACCTTGCTACAATAATTAAAGTAGAAACATAGATAAGAAAATATTAACAGATATTTACATACATGATCGACGTGTGCTGCGGCCTATCCGTCTCACCGACATTATTCGTGCCTCCTGTTAATCCTTGCACCTGTACGTTAGTTGCAATACTAGTCCTAGCTGGATGTCTTGCACTATCTTTCAGTATTTTTTTCGCGCTAAGTGGCGTGGCTGTCACGCACATTGTCTTGCGCGGTATCACGATCACCTTTGTAACACGCACTTTGAAAGAAGGCCGTTGTCGCGTGCACAAAAACAACAAGTGTCGGTCGCAATTGGTGATGAGGGCTGAACAATAAATTGAGCTCGCACAAAAATGTAAATTGCGAAATAAAGCAAGAAAAGACGCGCCGAAGCATACGTGAAAACTTCGAAGAGACGATCTTCGACAGAATTTATCCGAGGCCTAGCGCGTGGTGGTTTATATGCACTTGTGCGAAGTATAATAAGGACCGATTCGTGACGGAGGAGAAGGGAGAAGGAATGTGTCGATTCCTTGATGAGACAAAAACTTATTGATATGATGAAACACTATGATGATGTACGATTCGCTGGTTCGTGCGAGATAAATCCCGCAACAACGAGTGTAAATAAAAACTCGTGTTTCGTTCGTTCACAGATCCCACCTCATAGCGCACCGCGGGCCTACTGAGTGACTGACTGACTGAGTGACTGCCGCGAGCTTCGAGCCACGAGCCACCCTGCGTGGGTGCACACGCGGTCTCACTGTGTGGAAAGGCAGCGAGCGCGTTCATTGGTTTGCTTCAGAGGCTGGTCCTCGTGGGGGACAAGCGTTGACCAATCATCGTTCCTGAGTCACCACCGTACTACCGAGCAAACTCTGCTTGAGGATTTTCCAGCATTCTATCGCGAGCCGTTTCGCGGTGCGTTTTGTCTTGGTTCTCTTGTTGCTGTAATATCTTTCGATTTTCTTGTTGTTTGCATCGATGCTCAATGCTCATTTTTTCTTATATATGTGAACAGTTTCACTGGCATTGAAAGTTCGTTGTGAAAATTTTGTGAATTTTTCGAGTGTATAAGTGTGAAAAGTTTCAATGGAATTGTTAATCGTGTGATTCGAAATAAATCAAGTGTTACAGGTTATTCCAAATGTATTTCAGAAATAAAAATTTGTGATAAAACATCGTTACAGAAAAGTGATGTGTTTGAAGAAGTGTAAATATTTTTTCTCGGTTGTTTAAAATTTTGACAATAGCTAAACAAAAATGTCGTTCAAATTCGACTGATATAGTTTCGAAATATTTTTAACGCATCTTTTAATAATACTAAAAAAATTCTTTTTATGTTAATAATCGTGTTAATTTTCGCAGAACGGCTTTTTGTGTATCATCTTACATAATAGAATCATTCACATTTGTCTAATGTTGCTATACTTTTTAAATAAAGATATATAAATGAAAATTAAAAAAAAAAACATGAATTTAATAAACATAAATACATAATTCAATTCAAATCCTGACACTAACTTTTGTCATTAATGAAATTAAATATTGATCACACATTGTCGCAAAACGGAACATTTGGAATTTTGGAACTTTATTATCATTGATATTTTATATTTAACGTTAAATTACAATATCTAAATTACAATATCTAACTAAAATTATCTAATAAAGTTAATTGAATTATTTATATTATTTAATAAAATGTATATATATAAATTCGATCGTAATCGTTTTTTCCTTTTCTTTTTTTTATTCAGTTTTATTAAATAAATTAAAAATACATAAAACACAAAATAATGTTATGTATATTTATGTATATTTTAGCTTGAAAATATAAAAAATACATTAATTTGATTGTCTTTAATGAAATTATATTTGTATTGAAATTTTAGAAGTTATTAATGCTAATTAATTTTCTTTCAATATTAAATTTTGTAGTGAAAAAACGAACGTATATAATTTTTCAACTATGTTTTATGTGAATATTTTTATATGATTTGACATAAAATTCTGAAATTTTTAAATTTACGCGTAAAATTATAATAAATTTTAAAATGTATGTACAAATAAGAAATTCATAATTTATAACTTATAATAAATTTTTTAATATTATTAATTATTAAATTATTTATATATACAAAAATTCTGCTTATTTTTGACAGATAATCATTTGTAAATAGACAATTTGAACTACTTTTGAATTATTTTTTTTTTATTATTATTGAATTCTAATTTAAATTAAAAAATTAAGCTTTAAATGTTAAAAACTTTTAAAAAATTTTTTATACTCAATTTGTTTATTTCTAAATTGTGTATCACATAAATATAGTTTCTTTTAAAATTATCTAAGTCGATAAAAAGATCATCGCGATTAATTCATAGTGATATCTCTGTGACAATAAATCGTATGTTTAATCTGCAGTTATCATTGAATTATAAATGACTCATGACAGTTTACATTAAGTTAATTTTAAATACACATTTTATATATATTCTATATTTTAGATTACAAAAATGACCAATGATATTTTTATATAAAATATAAAAATTAAAATATATTTACTAAATATAGCAAAGATAAATTTTTTATTTATTATTAGTTTTAATATTATATAATTGTAATCGAGTTCTTACGCATTTTTCACTTAAATTCATTTATATAAATTTTGTATAATATTTTATGAAGAATCTTTATAAATTCTTGTATTAATTTTGAATCTATAAATCATTTTAAGAAAAATTCAGTTCATTCTTTTATGAATAATAAATAGATACAACGGAAAAATTACTATTGCTATGATTTATGATTGTTTATATATATTGAACGAAATATGTAATCATTGTTTTTAAGCAAAAATGTAAATTGTAGTTGAATCTTTCTTGAAATTTATAAATTTTTTTTTGAAAAATTAAATTTTTGTTTTTAATCTAATGAATTTATGTTGTAATTAATATCTTTTTATTGATGATAACAAATTTTTATTAATTTTTTCAATATTTTTACAATATTTATAAAAAAGTCATAATATAATTTAATAAGTATTATTTTAAATCATTCATGTGATATTCCTATAAAAAATGTTTGTTTACTCTATATATATATACATATATATATATATATAATTTATAATTGTCATTACAAATCTAAAACAATTTTAATTAAATAATTTAATGTTAAAATATTTAATTTAATTTATATTTTACATTTTTACATATAAATAAGAAAAATTATTAATGAATGTTATAAAATATAAACAAAAGATGAAAAAAAGTAAAATATCCTAACTTAAATTGTTGTCATCAATCATTTATGATCCAGTGATATCAATTAAACATTAATTTAGAACTTAATCATTTTTTCAATAACTATTACATGGAATTGTGATAATACTAAATAATTTCGCCAGCATGTATAAAATATAAAAATTAAAATAATATTTTAATAAAATTTAATAAAAATATTATAGTATTTATTATAGTATTACTTCTCAATTTCAAGTTCTTCTCATTAATATATTAATTTTATAAAAAAAAAATAACATTCTTTAGATAATTATTTGATTTAATTAAATTTATATTATTTATATTTGTTTCTTTTTTTAAAATTCTTTTCACATTATTTTTTCTTTAATTGAGTTTCTATTATAATGTTTTTTGTGACAAAAATTCATCATTTGCTTATATGATTATTCTTCTTGAAATTCAAATGAAACTATAAGATAATAAGAGAAATGTGTTCATTAGCATACAATTATTATTATTATTAGTATTAGTATTAGTTATATAATATCATTTAAGTTTATATTTGAACACATTACTAATAATTTTTTTAATAATAAGTATTCCTTGTTATTATTAATTTACACATTTCAATAATACTTTTATATCATTAGAAAGCTAAACATCTAAGATATATTTTTAAGTAATAGTGAATAAACAAGAGAAACGAATTTAGCCTATTATTTGAATTCAAGATCGAATGAAAACTAAAAGTGAAACGGTGCAATTTTTGAAAGTGTCATAGGTACCATGATTCTCATCTGGAAAAATGAATTGATGGATAACTTGTACGATGATTTGTACCTGTGAATGTGTCGGTCGCTCAAATTTTCTCGCTTTTCAAGTGTGGGCCAGCCTACTCGGAGGTCGACCAGGTGCGTCGGACCCTGAATATTCGTTGACTGGTGTGCACCTAAGTATTAAGTGTTTTTCACGAGCCACCAGTTTACAACGGCTCCTTTTATGTTCTTTTATTAACTCGGAGATTTGACGCTACGTGACCGGTTCAGGTTTCGTCGGATTTGTATTTCGGAATACCGAGAGATGGCGAGACATGATCGATTTTTCGACGGCTATGGAATTAACGAGATCATCGATAGTGGCGTATCGAGGAAATGGAATCCAGAGGCGATGGAAAACGAGTTTCGTGTGCACGACTATCCAACCATTTAAAATATTCAAGTATTTGAAATTCAAACCGTGTCAAATCTGTTTATTTCTATTCGCATCAAATCAAGTAGTATTCGATTATTTATGTATTATGTGAAATTGTCATTTGATTTACGACATTTAATTTGAGAAATGTAATATAGTTCCATATGATTTTTTTATGTAATAGATCTTGCTAATTGAGCTTTTATTAAAAAAGAATATAAATATGATAAAAATATTTATTTAATGTATATTTAAAAGTTTTCTTTCTTTCTTTTATACTCATTTTATTCACATTTAGACAAAATAAATTTTATTAATCTTTTTACATATTTTTCATATGAAAAGAATTATAAAAATTAAAAAAATTAAAATTAATTAAATAATTAATCAAAATTGTACGTATTAATAATTAAAAGAAAAAATGTTGGCAATTATATAAGATGTTTAAAAAAATTATATATATTATGGAGAACAAGATTTTGAGCATTTTCTTATACTCTATATTATACTATATTTATAAAAAGACCGATCGGTCTTAATTTTCGAAAAATTTATAAAAAAAGAATTGCTATTATGATATATATTTTGATTATATATATCCGTATGCGTTAATCCTTTATTAACTATTGGACAACTGGTATCCATATATGATGAGTGAATTAGTATCACTATATTTAATATTTTTAATATTATTATTATTCATAGTTTTGGGTATTCTTCGATAATGCGAAAATAAAAATATAAAACAATCCTTTGATAGAAATTACAATGATTCAAGTTATGATAATAACAATATTAGCTTCATACTTAATATCGATTGTTACAATATAGATCATTATAATTTCGCTTGCCTATAAAGATTGTTTTGTTTTATTTTTATATTTTATGGAAAATAAGTTGTCTATGGATAAACATTAAATATGATAGTTTATACAGAATGTTCAAATTCAGTATGAATTAGAGTTAAAATATTTTATTATTAATTATTTCCTGTCGCGATGTGTTTATATTAACAAATGATAATGATACTAGAATAGTTTATGCATATGTTCTCGTGGTATACATATAAATGATAAAAAAATATAATAAAAGCAAGTAGCAAATTCTTTTACGAATCGAAAATAATGATCGATCGATTCTTATATATAGAGGAAAAAGTTATTGAAAATCTTGCTTTCTATATATATATTTAAAAATCATCAAATTGAGATTCTTTTCTATAGAGTAAAGTATCTGAAGTTAATCCTCTCCTCTCCTATTTTTGTTAGTAAATGTAAATATAACAATTAAAAATTCTTAATTGAAATTATATTTCAATATAATATATCATTTATTTTTATTAATATATAACAATTATATTTTAACATATTAACAAAATTAAATTTTATTTTCATATTTTGATGTAGCGATCTTATACTATTACTTATTAATTAAAAATTGTAAAATTGTTATATAAAGACTTTCTAGCATCTATGTAATTTCTTTATATAGATCTTAATTTTGTTCGGATCATATTATATTAGTCGTATTACAACATTGCAAGTAAAAAAATTGTTATATGATTTTATACAAATTAATACATTAATAATTATTGTTAAATCATTAATAATTTAATATATATACATAATTAAATATATAATTTTATAAATAAAAAATATAAAAATTTTTTATAATAATATATGTATATACAAAATGAATACATATATTTTTTAATATTAATATTTTTCCCATAAAAATTAAAGAGATGAAATTGTAAATACCTTTTTCATTTTTGAAAAATGCATTTTTATATACATTTTTTATTTTATTTATTAATTTTCGTTTATGAATTTAAGATTTTAAGCTTGTATTAACTTTTTTGAATTAAAAATTAATTTGATTTTAAATAAATGGTAAAAAAATTTAGAGAGACTAAATATGTATTTTCCTCGATCAAATAATTATCAAAGCTTTTTATTCGTTTTATTTGAAAAATAGATATAAAATAAATCCTTTATTCATTAAATTGAATTATTTTTTTTAATATTTGATAGTATACAAAAGAAAAAAATGTTAGTAATTTGATAGAAAAAAAAATCTCATCAATTTTGATGATTTTTAAATATGTTATAGAGAACAAGATTTTCTATAATTTCCTTTTTTATTAGCTTCATTGATATAAATAGAAATAAATTTCTATTTATCAATTTTTAAAAATATTTATAATATTAGTTATAAAAAATTAACATTAAAAATTAAGAATAAGGCTATTAGAAACTATTTAATAATCTAATAAAAAATTATTCACTTATTTCCTATTTATTAAATAACCTGTTCTCGAATAAATAAGATTACAATTAGTGTAGTTATTTTATTACGCGTAAATAATACAGAATATAGGATATTTCATATACTCAGATAGATAGAAACTATGTTTTTAAAACAGTTAAAAAACAGTTAAAAAAAAATTAAATGAATCTATCTATATTTCTACATTTTTAATTTATAAATGTAACTAATCTTTTAACAACGTGATTTATTGTAAATATTTTCTGTTTTAATGTTTTAAATTTTGAATGACTATGTGTTATTCTATCTTATTTTATTTCAAATTAATTTATTCAGTTTATCACTGCATTGTTTTATTTATTGAAAGAAAAGACAAAATAAAATATTTCTCTTGCATTGTAATGACTAATAATACGTTCTAAATTATTAAGAAATCTTTAAAATATTCCATGTTAAAATATTTAATTAATAAATAATATAAGTCATGTATATATAAAGTCATGTATATATAGTTTTTTGTTTTCTTATATTTATGATAGTTAATAAGTTTTTTTTTTACTTTAATTTACTCTCTTAACAATAAAGTATAATATTTAGAGATATATTATAGATTAAATTTTACACAAAAGATTAAATTTTTAAGGGAGTCAAAAATTATATACATATTTTCAACTAATGTTAATTGGTCTTTAACTTTGTATATTTCAAGAAATTATTGAATAAATAATTATGATTATAGTATACCTATATATCTATATTTATAAATTTATAAATTTTTGTATTACAAAATAAGTCTAATATCTTAATTTTATTTTTTATTTAGTTTAATCAAATTAAAATTGAAATTGAAATTGGATAAATGAAATAAAAAATGAATTTAATTCATAATAAATTTTTCATATATTAAAATTTGAAGATACAATAATAAAATTTTATTTTGATCTGAATCTTTCTTAAAAAAAGAGAAATTTTTTTAATTCTATTTAAACAAATATTCGTGATTACATTATGATTATTGGATAAGTAATTAAATTAAATTAATTTTAATTCAATTGTTTTTTTAAATTACAATATCTTTATAGATATATGATTGTAATTCGTTGTACATTTATTTTCTATTTCATGGAATGGAAAGCGTGCACGAATGCTCAATGTAAATTAAAAGTATTAAAAGAACCTGTATTTGGAAAATCGGTTTTCTTTTTATTTGATAAAATTATGGAATGCGTAATTATTGGATTGAACGAAATGATCAATTTTAAAGAATAAATTGCATTTATAGAGATAAATTTATTGAATTTTTTAAAAGATTTTTCCTACTTTAAAATTAGTATAATATAATATATTTTAAAATAAGTACTTATATATTTGATAAAAATGATTATAGGCATTTTTATTATTTTATACTTATAAAAAATTATAAAATTTTTAAAAATATAATTATAATTATAATTATTTATATTTATTTTACTATAGATATTTTTAAATGTTGCTTTTATATGTAGTTTCTACGAAATAGTAATTTAATAGTTATAATTTTCAAATCATTATTTATTGTTAAAATTCTAAAAATATAATAGATAATAAATACGATATTCAAGTTTATATTTTTGTATTACAACAATATACCTATATAATCTCTCTATCTATCCTTAATAATTTAACAATATTTTGTTACAATATTCCATAAATTAAATAATATATTTTTTGTTATAAGAAGAAAATTTTTCATAAAAGTTAAAAACACATTTGTGTTTTTTTGGCTTTTTTCCATCATGATTTCATTTTTAGAATTTATAATTTATATTATTAATCTAAAAATTTCATATGAAATTGTATCATATAATTATATAATTTTGTTTTTTGTTGTTAAGAAAAAACAATTAATATATAAAAATAATATTTTAAAATAATTAAATATTTTTTTCATTTATAATTATATGTTGTTTATTAATTTAAATTGAGTGAATTGAATGAAAATTCAAATTCAGTTTGAAAGCAGCTTTATGACAATAATTACAACTACAATTATAAAAATAATTTTTATGTTAAATTTAAAACATTTTGCAATAAATCAAAGTATATAGGAACAAAGGACATATATACTTTATTAATTAATTTAATAAATTAAAAAAATTATTTTTAATTACTATAATTAAATTAAATAAAATATCCCAAAAAGACTAAAAATTAGATAACAAACAACAATAAAAAATAAAGATGAAAAATTTATTTAACATAGAATAAAATATAGAATGTTTAAAAAAAATAATTTTTTTACACTAAACAGAAACATTGAACCAAGACAAAGAAGTATTGAAACAAATATATACTTTAAATATATATAAAAATGAAAAATTTTATAAAAATATTATTTTAATTTTTTAAGTTAAATTTATAAAATGTTTGAGATATTTGTGTAAGATCAAAATTTATTTCTTCTTGATATTTCTTTTATTATTATTATTATTATTATTATTATTATTAAAGTAATGGTTTAATAAATTTATCAAAAACTTTTGTATCTATAACTATTGAACATAAAATATTTTTGTTATTTTATATAAATAAATATATAATGTATACTTATTTTATAGATACATAATGTGTAAAAATTATAAATTTATATAATGAAGAATCACATTTTTTCATTTTTTACAACTTATGCAAGAATAATACATGCCGAAAATGTTTTTCTTCATTTGACAGAAAAAAAAAATCAGGTCGAGGAAAATTAAAATATTTATAATATATAATATTTGAAAAAAAAAAAAAGAGAGATGAGAAATGTAGTAATAGTGATCGATAAAAAGTTGCAAACGATATTATTTTCTCTCAACAAGGGTAGGCGAGAGGGGTAAATTGGCGCGTTTGATCGAATAGACAATTACATGGCTGGTAATAAGCAGCATAATAAATGGTGATCAAACAAACGGGCTTCAAAGGCGTTGCTGGGCTCTTTCAG